CTCAGACCCTAAGGAGAACCTGCAAAGAGCCTCTTTCTTGTCCTGCACTCCTCTTCATGCAAAATGCCTCTAACCACAACCCAATTGGGATTGATTGCTCCAAGTGAATTAGTCCCAGGTATACTCAACTGAGCTAAACTGGCCCCTTTCGGAGGAAGCTACTATGTCAGGGGACTAGTCCCTGTTCTTATCCGATGGAACATATTGAAATGTGTACATGAGTCAAGTTAATGGACTCTTTCTCTCCACTCATCTGAGGAAGTGGGTTTTGCCCATGAAAGCTCATAATTTTTTCTCTCTCTCTCTAAATGTTTATTAGTTTCTATGCTGCTACAGGGCTACTTTTTTTTTTAAGTTACAGACTAACACAGCTCCCCCCTCTGAGACTTCTCTTGCATAGGTGTTAGCAGAATCTATGCCAAAGACTGGGAACCAGAAAGTGCAAACTCCTTCAGTTAAGATTATGCTTTCTGGCAATCAAGCCAGTTGCTCAAGAACATTAACTACAAACCATGGGTATCAGAATATGTTTTATTGTCAAACATAAAAATTGGTACTTTCAATCCCTGATGTCTGGTTTTGAAGATAAAAGCTCATTTCTTTCCCCTTTTTTAAAACTGTAAATATAGGATTATAAAACAAAACCCAAACCCACAGAAATAAATTAAGATAAAGAAAAGGAAAAAGCAAACACACCACCCAAAACGAGAAAATTTGGAAGCAAAAGCAAAATTCTAAAGTGAATTCAAAGTATGTTTTCCTTTTAAAAAGGATTTTTTTTCTTTTGCACACAAAATGAAATAAAATAGCAGCAAAGGAGGAAGATGAATACAAGTGCACACACGTCCCTCTGAATGTCCTTTATATTAACCAAAACAGTAGTATTCATCAGACTCCATTTGTGGATGCTTGTGCAGGGGTTGAGAGTCCTCTAGCACAGAAGTATCAGTGAACTGTTCTAAATCTGAAGGTGTATGGTGACCTGGTATGTCATCCACCAAAGTGTCCAGGTAACTCCCCACTGATATTCCATCCAGTCCATCACTACAGTCTTGTAAACTGTTACAGCTGCCCTGCAGGGAGGTCTCTTGACTTTCCAGCAAGCTGCAAAGGCTGCCACTCAAACTACTGCCTCTGCTGGTAATGGCTCCCTTCTCTTCAATCATCCATTTTATTGATTCAATGCTTTCGTTGATGATGAGCAGCTGGCGCATGAGCTTGACGTCAGTGGCTCGGAGATTAACCTACATGGTAAAACAATAACAAAAAAAATCAATGTTATTGTATTTTTAGACAAATGGGAGTGAAATCAATGTAAACAGTATCAGGCCGTGAAAAAGTAAATGCTAAGCAGATTTCATGCTTGAGAGCTGGATTTGATATGTTTAATAAAGCAGTAGAGAATGCTAACTTTTGAGAGATATTATTCCATGTCAGTATGCCACTATAACATACTAACTATCAGTACCTTGGCTATACAATAGAATATACCTTGGCTCCAGTCTGGTGGGGCCCCCGGTTAACTGGTAACTGGTAAGCAGTCACCCAGTGATGTTCCTACCATGTACATCCCTGAAGTTCATTATCTTTGCACATAGCCAGGCTAATCCCTATGATACTGGGTCTCTTCTGCACTTCCCTCTCTGCTCTTTTCTTGTTCACTCTGTACATGGAGGTGGCTTCCATTGTGTTGCTTATCCGTATGGCTGACACAGAAAAAGATGAATGGATATCCTTTGACCTGAAATCTGTTTGTCAACTCTGCCTTGGACACAGACTTATTTACCCAGCACATTAAATACAATCCATACATACATCTCACAACAATTATGAGGTCCAGTATGATCTAAGATTTTATTCAGAGACCTTACATGACACAATTAATGGATAAATACCACGGGATTGGAATCTTCAGTATAATGAATTTTCCAAGCCAACAAAGATTTGCAGTTTACAGAATACTGAACCATTGCCAGATGGAACCTATAGTCCTTTGATAGTGGACTCTTACAATTAAGGCTAAGTTAGACTCAGGATCTGTGGTCAGTCCTTGATTGTGCCACAAACTTCATCTGTCACCTCATAATTTAAGTAACTTGGCTATATATAAAATGCAGATGATTGAAAATTGTTTTACATGCTGTGGAGATATATTCCTTAATATCCACAAGGTGCTCAGATCTTACAGTGAATAGAACCATATAAGTAAATAGATAAATTAAAAGTTATTCATATATTATAAGGCCAGAAGTCCAACTTCTTGTATAAAGTCCTATAAACTTCCCCAAAATAATTCATGGAGCACAACTTTTGGAAAACTATCCAATCCTGAATTTAAAATTGCCAGTGGAGAATTTACACCAACTTTTGGTAAACAGTACAAATAGTTAGTTACTTTCATGGTTAAAAATGTATATCTTGTTTCTACTCTGAATTTGTCTAGCTTCAACTTCCCACCACTGAATCATGTTACACTTTTCACTGCTAGACTGAAAAAGTCATTATTAAATATTTGTTCTCAATGTAGGTACTTACAGACTATAATCAAGTTGCCCCTTATATTTCTCCTTGTTAAACTAAATACACTGAGCTCCTTGAATCTACTGATTCATGGTTTTGTATTCCTTTCTCATAGCTCTCCTCTGAACCCTCTTTAGTTCATCAACATCCTTCTTGAACTATGGATACCTGAACTGGAGAAAATATTCCAGAAGCAGTTGTGCCACAGCCAAGTATATGCGTAAAATAACTCGTGTACTCCTACTCAAGACTCCCCTGTCCTATGCATCCAAAGACTGTATTAGCCCTTTTGGCTACTGCATTGCATTAGGAGCTCCTGTTCAGCTGATTATCCATCATAATTCCTAAAATCTTTTTCCGAGTCACTGTTTCCCAGGATAGAGTCATCCTTTGTGTAAGTATGGCCTACATTCTTTGTTTCTAGAAGCCACCTTGAATATTTTAAATAGAAAGGCCGGGTAAAAATATTTAAATAAATAAATAAATAAATTTTGCCATACTAAAATATATATTGTTTGGTACATGAATGCAAAGTGGGGTTTTCAGAAGCACTTCAGCACTGGCCTTACTCTGACATTTAGCCTTCAGCCTTTGGGACCAACTTCTGCAGGAGCAGAGTTAAGCTGAGGTGAATCCCAACCACTGGGTTTCTGTAGATATAGGTTTTGTATGTTAACAGCCATACGGGTCCTGAATTTTGGAAACATGCATATACAATGTGAATAATCCCACTGATTTCACATGAACTATTCATGTGGGAACCAGATCCATATTTGATAAAATATATTAGACACAGGAAACATGTGCAACTGATAAAATATTGTCTCAGGTGGGTAACCGAGTTAGTCTGTAACTATAAAAATAACTTTTAAAAACAATGAGTAGCCCTGTGGCACCTGAGGATACGTCTACACAGCAGGGCTACAGTTGAATTAAGCAACGCATCTTCAGCTACATCAATTGCGTAGCTTAAGCCAAAATATCTTAATTCATCTTTGACTTCCCTTGCTCCTTGTGAAATGAGGTTTATCATGAGTCAGAGTAAGAAGTCCTCCAACTCAACATTATTTTGAAATAAAGGCGTGTAGTGTAGACGTGCAATATGTTATTTCGGAATAAAGTAGGTTAATTCTGAAATAACGCTGCTTGCAGACGTACCCTTAGAGATGAACAAATATATATTTCTATAGTATCATGAACTTTCATGGACAAAACCCTTTTCAGATGCAATGATCAAGATCATCTCATCTGAAAAAGTGGGTTTTGCCCATGAAAGCTCATGATACTATAGCTATATATATTTGTTAGTCTCTAAGGGTATGTCTACACTACAATGTTAGTTCGAACTAACGGACGTTAGTTCGAACTAAAAGGAAAACCTCATTTTACGAGGATTAAGCCTAGTTCGAACTTACTAGTTCGAATTAAGGGGTGTGTAGCCCCTTAATTCGAACTAGTGGGAGGCTAGCCCTCCCCAGGTTTCCCTGGTGGCCACTCTGGCCAACACCAGGGAAACTCGTATGCCCCCCTCCCGGCCCCGGACCCCTTAAAGGGGCACGGGCTGGCTACG